GCGCTTCATCGACGACTTTGATGTTTTCGAAATCGAAGTTGTGTCCTTCTCGGTCCTCGTGGATTGAGATCAGGCGACGCCACATGACTCAATGACCTATATAAGGAAGAGGACACTCGTAAGCGCTCACCCAGTTACTGCATTGAGAATGTCACCTCGATTGGTGATGAAACGTTTGCAATACAATTGCCAAGCTCGGCGATCAACTGAACATCATATTATACCACCCGAGCTACAAAAACAACAATCAACATCGTTGTTTACCAAACTGTCATATATATATATCGTACTGGCCGATTGTGATGCACTAAAATATTTCCTTTATGATCAAAGGGAGTTTCATTATATTTATCACCCATATTAATGCTTTAGGTATGGATAATAATTTATATCTTGTCTACTTCGATATACGTAGTTTCTGGGCTGCATGATTGGGTGTTGCCAATGTTTTATGTAAACAATGTGCAGTGCTAGATGAGTCATATTGAAGACTGATCACAGGTATCAAAATGTTTGTTTACGATAGGAACAATACGTGGTAAACCACTGACTCGGGATAGAGATTTACGGGATGAAATCCTCACTTTTGGAGCGAGGTAAGTATCATGGAACAGGAAAGCATGTGGGGCAAAATATCAGAAAATCAAGTAGCAAGCATGCAATGCGGAACCATTCTGTGTATCTGAATGCGCAAAGTATAGTTTATGAATTTCAATGTAGATATTATTGATATAGTAGGAATGTAAAAGATTGTGGGAGAATTATACCGAAGTATCAAACGGTGATGATGGTTTGGGGAATGGAATGACCATAAACCATGAGGATGGTATTTAATTTTCGCGAGTCAGGTATCGAGGCTATAAGGGATATCAATGCACTTGAGCGACCGAGATGTGGACCAACTGAGAATAACTGTCCAACAGTTTTGTAGAGACACCCGACAATGACATCATAATTTAAACCAGTAGATTCTCGGGAATGTGATTGTTCTTTAATTGATAGAGAGAAGAAGAAGGGTAACATAATGACACTTGGTAAAGCACGAGAATGTATTTCGGAGAGAATAAGACGCATAAAACCACAGGATGTGAATTATGTCCTTCCCCATGAGAAGTAAGTACGCCTGCAGGATTGTCGACACAACCTAATGCATATCCCTCGGAGCCACAACAGAGACGGTTGAGCTTGTTTATTGATTCCCCGTTAAATTGATAACGAAACAATCACAATCGATGGAAAAGCACTGAGTACATAGTGTCCTTCTTATGGTCTTCTGATTTCATGAGACAACTTCCGCGCATTCTTTCTTTTATGAAGATTTTGTAAGGGTTTCCGGTTTTACGACCCAGGGACCAGCCAAATCAACCACTAGAAACACTGTGATGCGGTGCATTATACACAATCGGATCGATTTGGCCATTCGCTTGAGGACTGACTTCCAGCCGTGATTTACGTGATC